CAAAAAAAGCGATGATAGAGTAAAGAGATGAGAGGGAACTGCCGATTAATAAATCTGATGGATTTTTCTAGCGTGTTTTTTTGTGCTTATTGATTCTCTGTATATATATATATATATATATATATATATATATATATATATATACGTGGGCATGCGTTGTTATCTCTTGTTGCGCTCGATCGCATTATATGGATCTATATCTAGCACTGAAATACTCGCTCATTTAGTGCTTAAACATTCGACGCGGCATTTGACAAAAGCATCTTACTATACATAGACATATGACAGATGGATTATTCCACTAAGAAAAAGAAAAGAAAATCCGATAATTTGTTATTTCTCTTCTATTCTTGAATAGACTACAGTCGATTTCACTGATTTAATGGCATCATCCATTACTTGATATATGTTTGCATATAGAGAAGGCATAAGCAAGTTCTAAGACGTGATTGCATTTACGAAATAATGATCTCATTGATATGACGACAAATATTACATATGATAAAAATGACGTTTTTAAGCAAATTTTGATATTATATCTTATCTGTCAAAGTGGTCGTTGCCATTTTGTAGAAAGATACTGATAAAAGGAAAAATATCATTGTCATAAACAAATGTCATGGTTGTTTTTTTTTCTAAGCTGTTGTCTATTTAACTGTTAATTTTTTTGACTTTTTTTTCTCGAACGAAAAACCAAAATAAAATAAAATTCAATAACATTTTTTACCTGTGCCAATAATACAGATTCTTCAAGTTCAATTAAACGTAATTCATGTTTCTTTTTCATAAAAGCTTGCATTTGATTAATCATGATTTTCTCTGACCTAAAATTATAATTATAAAACTATGTAACCACAATAGAAAATCTTTTCCTATAATTTTGTTTGATATTTTTCTTATGTATTTGTAGTATTTTGTCTGTTCCACATGGGTAAATAATCGATATGTAATGTACTGGGGAAAAAACTATTCTTAATTATGTTTTATTTCTTATCAAGGATCACAAAAATTAGGAACACTCGGTTTATTCATACCCAGGAGAAAATAAAAGAGATTGTGACACTTTTTTAACTTACTGTTGTTGATCTTCATGTTGTAGATGATGTTTCGTTGGTGCCTTATTAACAACAGCTAATAATGCTGATTTCTCCTTTTTAACTTCTTTTAAACGTTCTGCTGCTTCTCTGCAATGTGCTGATAATTGTGATTGAATAATTGGTGCTGCATAGACAATTAATTGTTCACTATTATGTGGTGATAAATGTTGTAAACGAGAATTATATGTAGTTAGTTTATTGAATGGAGAATGAAATATTTCAAATTCAATATTAATTGGTGGTGTTGATGGCTCACCACTTGATTCATTTATTGAACAAATATAATTCTCTAGTTCTTCATTTGGATCTGTTGTTGAACTTGTAACAACAAATGATGCAAAACTACGATGACGTTGTTCATGCTAAAACAAAGAAAAACATTATTTTTGTCATAAACAAAAACATATTTTTCTTCTGATTCATTCTATACTGTTGTAAATAGTGTACGATGTTGTAAATGATAATAATAGTAACAACAAAATCTGCATCATTTGATATCCACTGTGCTGAAAAAGTCTTCTATAAGCTAATCTTTCGTTTATATCAAGAAACAAGTGTTGACAGGCTCCATCGTTGGGTAGAAAAAACACAAGTGGAACTCGTTTAACAAATTTTATGTTATATTCAAAAGTATTATTCAGTAGAAATTTATCGGTTTTTATGCTTGACTTACATTATCGTTAAGTAACATCAGTTGCTTTCTCAAGTTAATTTGTATTTAACTCATATATAGAATAAATAAATAAATAAATGATATTTTCACACCGATATTATACATGCATCGAACTTCTTAGTGTCAATTGAACAAATATCGGAATCTAACTACAAGATTCATATAGGATTTCATTTCCTATGCAAGAAATTTATACAGCAGGATGTTTTCCAACGAGAAATTTGTATAAATTTGATCATTGAATGAAAGAACAAAACAAATCAATCATATCACAAATTAATCATATCAATGACATTGAAGGACGGAGTAACATATATATTATATCAAAATCATAATGTCAATAGAGAGAAATTTGTCGAGATTATGCCAGATTAACTCGGTAACATAATACTAATCAATTAATGAATTCTTTTTTTGATAGAAAATAAATAATTCGAATTCATTTTTTATTTACAAGATTAATATCAACGTTAAGTGACTCAATAATTTGCCTGACTTGTTTTATTCATGTTTATTGTGTTCTAGAATTACTTTAGTTCGCTATGAATTCTATACAATTTAGGGCGATAAAAATTAATTCAAAAACATTCATACTAAACTGATTTAATCGTCCCTGGAAAAAAGTCGGTTTTCGTCATAATTCTCAAAATTAAGATAAATACATAAGAAGATAATCTGGCGTCAGATCTTTCATAAATGCCAGAATTTTTTATTTAGCACCTCCTGTTTTAATGATTTCTGTCATCACTTTGTTGAAAAATATTCTGTTTTCCAAAAACGAAGGAAATCTTTTACGTTTTTTATGCTTTTTTGATCGTGTATCTTTGAATTAACGAAGGAGCATTATTGCAATAAATTACGCTTTTTTTTTGTTTTTGTTTGAAAGGACATGTCAAGATGCAGCACGTAACAATGCCTCTTTTTTTTCTTAGCAAAGTTTTGTTACAATTCTATAACAAAGTACGTTTATAATTAGGGCACCATTTTTTTGAGTCTCTTGAAACATTAAACTTTTCTTCCCTTAAAAAGTAAGTTTTAAAAAAGGTTTCGTGATATAGGGCCGAAAATTTTATCATAGCTTCTTCATGTCAGCTTCAACATAACCTAAAAATTTCATGCGACTTGAATGTACCAGAGCCAAAATTATTTTTTGAGAGGAGGGAGGTGGAGGGCTTAAGATAATGAGATGGGTAAGTACGAAGCCAAGAAATGGCAACTTGTGACTTGAAAAGTATGTGATTATCAAAACTTACATTTTTCTGTTGCGTAGATTTATCTCGGTCTTTACATGAATGTTTCGTTTCTGTAAAACACACTATCAACACAATACAGAGAATAATCATAGACCAAAAACGATCATAAATAGTTCTGAATCCTGTTTCGTATGGCTATACGTGTCAAGAATTGAAATGAAATAAGAATCCTCCCAAAGAAATAATCGCATGGGAATCGTCGGATTAGGCATTTTGATTCTTTTATGTCGATAATTTTCTTCAGATGAGCCATGAAGTAAACTTGTGAGTAGAATTACCAGAAAGAATTTTTTCAACTAGTTTTATTTACTCATATCATCTAAATCCAATAAGAGATTTTGAGAAAGTGCTATTCGATTGGAATTCGCAGGAAAGCTTATGTACATTATCGAAATGCAAACTATATTTTCATGAGAAAAATCATCAATTAATTGATTATTATTTGTTACTCAGTGGATTTGAAATAATTTCATTACGATATACATTCTGCTAACTAACATCTTCTAACGGTATTATAAACACTAATGACAATATTTGCAAGAAAACGCAAGTCACAATTTTCTAAGGTCTCTAACTGTTTTCATTAGAAGCCAATTGATTCTTCCCTCTTCTATTTCTTGTGTTCTTCCCATCATATATTATTTACTTTTAAATATATTATATATATATAGCAGAGACCACAAACAAACCGAACCCAAGCTAATTGTCAAACAGATAGTTGAGCGGCGTCAATTCTCAAATGAAAAAATAATTGATTGAACTGTAATCGGTTTTGTAAAAGTGTAATGCGATCGGCGAAGATGAAATGAGCTTTGATCGATCGTTTGACATCCTTAATTTAATTTTCATTTGATACAGTCTTTTCCTCACTTCAAAATAGTTTCACTAATTGCGTTTATGACAATGGACGCTACATAATTCTACTCTTTTAAAGTTCTCCATTTTTCCGTATTGCAATTAATAATCATCTTACCGTGTAAGATTATTTATTAACATCAAAAACGGCTCACGATACTTACATATTAGTAATATAAACTTAATATTAATCCACAAGTGTAATAAATAGTATTAATTTACACCTTTAGTAACTTAAGGGTTACATTCTAGGCGTTTGAGAAAGAAATTCTAACGTAGAGTCTATTCCTGATTAGGGAGAACTAGGGCTAATCGAATAGAACTAACGGAACCCGGTTTGATTTGGTTTCTGATATGTAGTGAGAAAGTTTGAAATTCGCTGCATTTTATGATATATGCGCCTTGAACAATAAATAAAAATGAAAGCTTAAAATTTATTTCAGAAAGTTTTTTGAGCTAAACGAATTTCTTCTTTTATTTATTTTATGTGTATTTCTATTGATATTCATTAGTTCACAGTTTATAATTATGTAGGATTTGATTTTCGAATATAACCGTTATAATAAAGTATGGTAAAGACTATATTTTCTATCGAAACTTGAAAAAGATTCAATTTGAAATTTCTTTATTACCTATGTTCATGCGCATAACAGAGCATCCAGGTCCTTTTTTGTTTTCTAGTCGATGTGTTCGTGTCTTTTTTCTTGTTTATTTATTTATTTATCAACATTAAGATTCTTTTCCTAACTACATTTGTATGTTTTGCCTGAAGAAACAATTAATTTATAGGAATATTTCTCAATCTATTCCGTCTCAGGCTAATGAGTACTTCAATTAGAAATAACAAGCTTTTCGTTACTTTTATTATAAATGTTACATTCATTTTGAAAATAAGCAATTAATAGCGTATGTCATAAAAACTAGTATACCATATGGACTTTATGCATATTATCATTGACACTGATGGTAAACCCATAAATTGCCTTCCCAAAAATGGATATGTGAATATACATCGTAGAAAAAAAAATGTTTGTTTTCTTTTCGGTATGGTTTTAAACTGTATTTTTTGTTCAAGGTGAATCTTTAATAAGATGCAGTACTTTTCATCCTTTCTCGTTGTTTATAATATATTTAAAGATAAACGAGACATACTAATAAAAACAAAAACAAGGGAGGCGGCAATCGATTAACATCCCGCTGTAAGAATTATAAGGAAAATATCTAAAAACTAGGAAACTATACAACAGATTTAAAAATTCTGGAAACTATAGGACGACTACAAAACAACTATTTATTCATTATTATTAATAACTCAAATAAGAAAGCGTAAGCAAAAAATTGTGTATTTATATTGCTAATAACACATATGTGACAGTTGTTTTTAATTCTATTATTTGCATTAGTCTCGATATATGAATTAACATTTGTACAGCTGCTGTAATAACCTAAGGCGAACAGTCAAACGGTACAGTCTCACAAGATTGTAGATTTGACCTTGTAAGATGAAACAAAGACCGTACAGAAAAATTCGTATTATAAGATTCTTGAAAAATTGTGCTGCCTTATCGGATATCATTATAAGATAAAAGGAAATCTTATGTGACAATGAGATATTTCAAGAATTTTAGAGTATGATTTCATCTGATCTTACAGTAAAACATAATTATCTCTTATGCAGTCCAAATAATTAACTCGATATTTTCATAAATTTCTTGAAGTTTTATTTAGCATATTTCTATTGAGTGAATTATACTAGTAACTATGATATGAGTCCCATAAGCTCATTTAAATGCATCTTTATTGAATCTAATTTTCGTTTTCTCTTATTGAATTAAGCTTTCCGGTTCGTGTCATTATTGTACATTGCTTCAATATAAACACAATATGTGTTGCTATTTTTATCCCTATTATCCTATGGATTTCTGAATATACTAAGACTGAAATTCTTCAAAAAAAGGTATCTTCAATTCATAACGCTTTATTTTTTTGTTATAATCTAATGAATTTATCTTAATTAGAGTATGCTAATGAAACTATGTTAATCAAATAAATATTATTAAAAATTGTCACTTTACAAAGCTCGAAATATCTGCGTAATAAAACCTTTACTGTCTGTTTTTTTTTCGCTTACGTAATTTTGTATGAGAGAAGCAATTAATTGTAAATTTTGACAAACTGTATCAATAACACCAATTTGTGATTGTTCCATTCCCTAATTGCAAAAAATATTTATATATTGAATTGTTTTATAAACATAGTTTTTTACTTGAAGAAGTTGTGGTAAAACATGATATTGATATTTTGATAAAAGACCATTAACACCAACTAATTCAATAACATATTGATTATGAGCACGATGAAATTCAGGTGTCACACCAGAATCACTATATATCTTTGCATATTCTTTTTGCAACTAAAATAATCGAAAAATTCATTGTTAAATTGAGATTAATTATTTTTGTCCTTTTTTATTTGTTTTTAATTAATTTTCTCGTAGTTACAAGTGTATTTAATTCATGAAAGGAGAACAGTTAAAGTCAATTATTAATTGTCAAAAGAAAAAATAAACTAAATATTAAAATTGATTGGCAATTTGAATTCATTTGAAAACTGTTGATCAAATAAGGTCAAAGAGTCAAAAACAGATTTTTCTGTTATGTCTAAATGCATTCTTCTTTTTTTTAATATTCTACGCAGCATTTCTAACAGTTCTCTTGATAATACTCGTAAAAGCTTCCTTTTCTTTACTCAATAAATTGATACTATTAATAAATAGTTCTTAGATCCAAAATAATTTATCAAAAGTATGAATTTAATTGATTAATCAATTGAACATATTTCTCACTTTTATTCATTTCAATTTGTGTCACGTAATTTTAAATGAATTAGATGAAATTATAGTAAAGCTAGTTGTCTGTAATTACGAATTTATGGAAAGAACCTGATGAGATAACAAAAAAACCAAGTTCAATAAAGTAGACTACTCTAATTATATCTAATTTTTGCTGATTAAAGAAAGAAAAAACATATTTCAATTTACTTCTTGAACAATATTATGACTTGTTTCTAATATTTCATGAAGATCAGAACGGTGTTGTTTATTAATAGATAATTCAACACTTTTATTTGTTATAAAACTTGCTAATGGTGTACAAATTTCTTTTTCCATTAAACATGCCATTTTTTTTAAAGACTATTTCATACATAAGAATAAGAATAAAAACAATTATTTAATATGTATGTTTGTTTTTGTTTTCTATTTACTTGTGATTCTAATTCTGATTCCAATAATAATGATTCCCATAAATCGTACATCATACCACCTAAATGGCATCTAATAAAACGTCAAATCTATTGACTGTTTATTAATTGTAATGAAACATACCTTTCACGAATTTCAATTTCAGTTTTTCTACGAAAATCACTTACAAGTTGATGTAACTGAGATGAGGCTAAAAACCATATTTTAGCCGATTGATTTGTAAAATCAGTAACTAAATTATGATTAATTATTTAAATATAAAAAAAACAAAATCTTTTTTCTTTGTATTATTAACTCAATTTAGTAAAAGCAATAGTCACTTCGGCATATTCAATCAATTTATGCCACACTTGAGGATCAGGAAAATCAACAAAACTTAGTCGACGTCTGGTGCTGTTCGCCATATGTCTTATCTAAAAATCATACAAAGAGCAACATATAAATGGACAATACTGCTTTATGAAGAAAAAAAAATGATAAACAGTGATAATCAATTGGTTAAAGAGAAAAAAGCTGTTGATTGAATCTGTGAAAAGGTTAAAAGAGAAAGGGCCCGTATTTATTCGTATCTTGTAAAGAATCAATTTTATAAAGAATGTCGTTTTTTCAAGAGAGCATAAAACATGTAAAGATCACGTTCTCAATGCAAGATATATGGAACATTTCTTTTCTCCATTCATTATTCTGTCGTCTTTTCATCTTGGATTCATTTTTTTTTCTACGACTCATACTTGAGCGAGGGAGCGTACATGATGATGGTGTCAATCATTTCGCTCTCGAATGCTGCCGATGTATTCAATCCACTATCACAATCTCATTTTTTTCTCTCGACTGACTGACTAACGCTTCGGTTATATCGTTGGCTTTGTATGTGCGTTCATTTTTCCGCACGTACTCCTCCTCAGTTTCTCTGTGTTTTTTCTGTTTTTGCGTGACACAATCCATCTCAATGGCGATATTTAAGTTAGTAACCGTTAGTAACGCCATATATCTTGTCAGATCTTTTTCTTTTTGTTAGGTAGATCGACTGCAATCATTCATTATTAGACTATTGTTCGGATCGTGTTTTTTTAACATTGGTTTACAGTACGTTAGAGGTGATCATCTATTTTTAACTTTAAATACATTTGTATGAATGGTAAAATCTCAATGGAGCTTCATCGAACAACAAGAAAAAAAATCACACATCAGTGAACATAATCTACGACAATATGTCGATGTAAAATTCTATAAAAAGAACAGATTTCTAGAATAATTGGTTATTATTGATGAAGTTGATGATTACAAATGAAAGAATGAAGTGGTCCAGTTCTTTTTTTTTTTTGCGTTCAGACATCAAGGACACATTAAAGAGTACTTATAGAATAAAGTCGTTTTAATTCATATTGATAATGACGAGAAGAATACTATAATCTCAATGAATTGTGCTTTTGATATCAATGAGTTTTATCAAATTGTTAGAATAGCGTGTTATATAGTTTTCCTTTGTTTAATGTCATCCATCATATTTTCATAAATTTCAATAGATCAGTCAATCAATATGAATCATTTTGAAAGAAACACGATAAGAGGTTTTTATTATTGTGAATAGCCTTTTGATGAAAACAATGTGACAGGAAAAAACTATTCTTTGTACTTTCAAGTTAAATGCAGCATTGACTATAATAACTATTTATTTATAAGACGTCAAATGCCATTCGTTTACAAGGACAATCACTAAGTTTTTGTTTGGAATTCATCAACCGAGTTTAATGCAAATATTTAACACTTTAATTGTCACTATCTAAAATGTTTGCTATTGTATTTAAATAAATGCGTAAAATTTTTCGAAGAATGTAGCAATAAATAACCCAAATAATCTTACATAAGGTCACTGTCTCTGTTTATTTACTATGAAAAAATGTCATTTACAATATGTGAATAGATATTTTTTTGTAGTTATTCTTCAAATCAAATAATCATACTCAAGACACAACTGATTGGATTTTCATTTTTTTCTAAGTACAATATGCGTTGTAGTAATTTGTTCTGTGTTATTGTGACATTTTGCCGTTATCATATTGAAAGTACATACTAAAAAAAAAAGACACTACGAGGATATTGATATCCTTCTCCGTGGTCGAGTTTCTTTTTCTTTTTCGTACAACGATTTGCGTCAATTCGTTCTTTTTCTTTTTCTTTTTCTCACGTAGACTGACGAAGAAATGAAGAGGAAAAGAGTAGGCACGTCTGTTTTGTTCACATACGTATCAGCTGTACCCTTATTGGTCCTGTACAAAGAAAACACTCTAATATCATTCGTTGTCGGCGTGTTTTTATAAAAATCTACGCACACAATCGTGTACCTTGGCCTTATCACAAACATATAAATACATTTGTGTAGTAAGCATTTCATTCTCATATCTTACGGAAACTTGGGTCGTGGTGAACTATATTTAAAACAAGCAAAATGGCTTCAATGAATTATTGCTTTACTATTTGTCGTGCAGCTGAAGAGAAAGTTCAACAACAAAATCATTCGAATGCATCTTCAGCTATTGATGTTCCTAATTCGTCATCGCCTAATACCGGTGCTTATTTCTTTGGGCGCTTTTTTTCATTTGGTTTATCACCACCCGCATCAACATCAACAATCGATAATTCATTTGTTTTCAAAACAACGAATCTTAATGAAATTAATGATAATAGTTAATTTAATTTTGTTTGTATATTTTATTATTATAATTAACATATGATTATATGTTATGCATCAGATAAAAGAAAAACAGACAAAAAATTATTGCAGAAACTTTTAGTTGAATATTCGAGTTGGATGTAGCAATATGTCTGTTTTCATTTTTTTTTATGTATATACATCTATAAGATTTTATTATTATTTTTTCTTCAATTGTACAACGGAAAAATAAAAAATCAATTATTAATAAAATTGTTATATCTCAGGATTCATTTATATCGTATTCCTGTCTTTGTCTAGACATGAACTATGGATTTATTTTGATTAAAAGAAAAGATGCACAGATGATTTATAAGGAAACATGTAATAATTCTTCTTATCATGAAATAACCGGATGAAATGTCTGAATATATAAGCAGTTTCTTTTCTTTATTATTGTGTGTTATTGCAGAACGGAAGTTAAAGAATGATGCATCTTTTTTTCCTATTCTGATAAGATATATTAATATATTCTATGTATATCATTATTACACAAGATGTCGAATTGAATTAAATCGACATAAGTTACGATTTTAATATAAGATAAAGTTGCTTGATTGTTTGTTTTTATTGTCAATATAAAGAGAAAACAGAATGTGGAAAAAGACACCAACAAAAACAAAAACAACAACAACAACAATTACCGATGATAACGGTAAAATATTAAATCGAAATAAATTTTCATTCTATGATGAACCATTAGATTTTGATTTTTTTTCCACAACAAATAAATACGCACACATTGCTAGGCTAGAAAATAAGACGAAGAAAAGATTAAGAAACAGATACAATGCGTATTTTACCTGTCTTAAAAAAAGAGAACAAAAAAAAAGGTGTTAAGATAATCATGCAAATAATAAATGTACAAAAGACGAGAAAAAAAAGTGTACTGAATAAAAGATTATTCTTATTTTTTTTTAGTTGCTTGTTTTTCGAGCATATGAATTTTATCTGTTAAATTTGATTTTTCACGTTCTAATTGTTCTATTGTATTACGCTGTTCTTCAACTTTAGCTGTTTCTGTTATTAATTGTTCAAGTAATTGGTTATTAACATTTGGAACAGATTGAGATTGTATTACTGTTTCAATTGATTCAGAATTATTATTACCTTAAAAAAAATAAATAAGAAATAATGGATGCTGTTCGATAAGATGAATATTCTTCATTTGAAAAGTCGCGTATGACTTTTTGTAGACTAACATTTAGCACATCGAATCGTATACAGCAAAATTCATTTTTCATCAAGTTCTAATGTTTTGAAAAGCCATATATCAGTTAAACGGTATTACTACAATTATGGGTGATATGATCAAATATTGATCAATCAATACTTTGAAAAAGGCTAATTTTTCAATTCCTGAGGACAGAAAAGTGCATGAGCTTCGCGAGAAATATTTTTTGAGTGAAGAATGTTCTATCTATTAATAATAAGTTCATCATGTTCTTTCGAAAATGATAAAAAATTTTTGCTTTCACATCCCTGGAGGGGAGAGCAGGACTTGACTACTAAAAAGATTAGTTTATATTTTATTTTTTTTTCCTTACGAATTTAGGTTCTGAGTAGTCGGATGTGATTAAATTATGCAGCTTTATTTGATTCAATATATGTTCAGTCGCTTATGAGAATTGACAATTTTGCATATTGCCATAAGCTTCTTCAAGGGTCCGACAGCGAAATCTTTTTTTATCATTTTTGAAAGATCCATATATTGCAAATCAAATGATAGACCATGAAGAATTTATTATTAACAGATGTGAATTTTTTCACTAAAAGAACTATTTATCATAAGACTCGTATACTTTTCTGCCCTTAAGAATAGAAAAAATAGTCTTTTTTAAGCATTGTTTGTCGAATAGTTAGTCATATCACCCACAGTTGTTGTAATGTCTTTTAATTGGTATATCGTTTTTCAGAATATTAAAACTTGATGAACAAATAATTTCCTATACACCATTCGATATGCTACGTGTTGCTCTACAAAGTTATATAAATGCCTTTTCAAATGAAGAATGATTATCTTATCTGACATAGTCTTTTAATTTGATATTTATTTATGAACCTGTATTTGGTGTTTGTTCTGGAAGACTTTCTAACAGTAAATTTTCTACTGGATGTCCATTTGTTGTTGATTGTAAAAGTGGTGAAAGTAAACCACTATCCTCGTCGAATAAACCTTCAATGGACGTACCTTCAGGCAAATTATCAAACATTAATTCACGAATATTATCAAGTGACGATTGAATATTATCAACATCACCTGTTATATCATCTAATGAAAAACTAAGTTGTTCTGTTGGTGGATCTATTTTATTTTGTTGCTGATTTTGAGAATATAATGTTGAATTTAATGTTGGAGATGTTCTAAGTTCATCTATTGAATTAGGTTGATTTTGTTGAAATGTATTTGGAAATTCGATGTGTTCTTCTTTTAATAATGTTGGAATTGAATTTTTTTTTACTGCGTCTCCATGATACTAAAAGAGAAAAAAAATGAAATTTCTTTTCTTGTTCTTTTGTAAACTGTTTTTCAAACTTCAACTGAAAACTGTATAGCGACAGGCCTTAATGAGAATAGCATATTGTGAAAGTTCCAAGAATTTTGATTTTCTTCTATCTTGAAATAAGGAGCAACAAGTCTGCTGCTAAAACAAAACAAAAAGTATGTCCAAACGGAGATCAATTCCTGCAAAAATTACTTTTGCTATCAAAATAAAGAAAAAGTCGGATACTTCTTTTTACTTGTACATTCGAAGATAGCAGAAGAAAAGTCAATTTACTTAGCACACAAATAAGTCATTTAAAAACTGAATCTGTGCTAATTAGCAAATAATAGAAGCAGTTTTCACTTTCAAAAAGTGATGAATTATATAGTTAAATTCAACAAGAAGCTTTTTCGATGTTTTCTATCAATAAATAACTCACATACTCTGTATACAAAACATATGCTCTTTCTGCTACAAGTGAAACATTTCTTTATTCTAATTCCCAAATGAGAAAAATTTCTCCAAATGCACGTTGACATACGCCGTTAGATTCAACACATCTGGCTATATCGTAGAATAAAAACAACGACAAGAGTTTAAACATTTACAAAAAACTGTTCTCATTAATCAGCAAACTATTTCTACTAATCAATCGCTTCTGAATTCGAACTCTGTAAAAGGTAGGTTCCAGTGAGATATGGGAAAAACTCAGAAGGATAAGTTCCCTCAGATCTTCTGTCTAGAGTTATAGATATTTTACTAGAATTTTATGTCAATAGAATGTCGTGAAAAGTTGTGGTGAAAAGAATGTTTCCTTCCCAAGATATTAATATCCAAAAAAAAAAAACTGAAAATTTGACGATCTTCTATGAAATATGAGTGATTTTTGAGACTTTAATATATCTCGGGAAAGAAACATTCTTTTGAGCTGACATTTTCAGAATATTCCACTGATAAATAAACCTGTCTGTGATCAAGCTTTGAGGTCGAAATGCCGTCATTTGATTTATTAGCATATGCCATGTCAGATGCTGAAGTTCTAGTAAAATGCCTACAGCTATGGACTGAAGGTCATAGAAAATTTATTGTGCTGCATTTTTTCATATTTCACTGGCGTCTATCTTATGCACAAAGTCAGAATTCAAAAGTGATTGATAAGTTGACATTGTTCTCTCGTCAGACCTGTCTCGGTATAAAGTTTCAAGTCGAAAATCAATTTTCGTGAGCAGAACCATTCTATTCATTAAAAAACTACTATAAAAGTGCAGTGTTTCCTGAGTAATAAGCTAAAAGTTCGAACTTTTTTCAGCATATTCATAGCTCACTTGGGATAACATAGCTTTACATAGTCTAGACTCAAAAGCGATTATTCAGTTGAAAAACTTTCGTCGTTAATCTTATTTTTTCTTATAAAAAAACAAAGCAAATATAAATACTGTTTTAAAAGCTATCTAAATCAAATATACATTTATTGTCATGAAAAATAAATCACTATACATCTTAAAAAAACAATGAATGAATGTTATATAATAGTTATATAACATTCAACATTCAATCATTACCGTTTTAATGCCTGTTGTATTTGTTCCTTGTGTTTGTCCAATATTTATATTTTTTTCATTAGTATTATCTGTACACAAGAAGAAATCTGGTATATATGTATTGACTACGTTATTTTCATTGGCAACAGTTGGAAAAGTTTTATTTTGCTGTGGACGATTTCTGGGATCATGTAGAATAGGATTAGAAAATTCGTTTGTTGAAGTTGGCCATCGATAGTCATTTTGTTGTTGTTGTTGTTGTTGTTGTTGTGGTTGATGATTAGGATCTGCACTTTGTGCTGATAGTGGTGGCGACGGAACAAGATCCACTAATGGTGATGCATTCGTTGTTTGAATCCATCCACCAAGATCATTATCTGTTAATTCATTGATTGTTACACTTTGTTGTCGACCAAAATTAGTTGGATGTGAAAATTCTTGATATTGTTGTTGCATAGTTGTTCGTTTATTTGGTTCTTCATTAGACATGAGTGCAGCTTGTTTACGTTTAAGTGTATTCGGTGATGAACCTTGTTCACTTAGTATTAATGGAGAATTTTTTATATGGTCTGAAGTAGCTGTTTGTTCTGGTTGAAATGAATGAGGGGTTAGGACTTCATTTGGCATTTGTTGTTCATTGGACTGTGCTGAATTTGCTGTAATAAAATGTAATAGAAATTCCATTAATTTTGAAACAATTTGTTGTTGTTTAGCATGTTTCTGTCTTAATGAACCGATCTCACCCCATAATGCTTCATTTTCAGTTTGAAGATATGATAATTTATCACTTAATGATGTTTGTTTTGTTTGTAAATTTCGTACATCGTCAAGTAAACGTTTTAATTCTATAGAACCATTGGATTTTGAGTCAAGATAATTTGCTGAAACAAGTGCAGATGACGGATTAGAACCTTAGATGATCAGAAAAAAAAATTACTCTTATTTTTCAAGAATATAGTCATTTGTTAACAACAAGAAAAAAAAAGTATCATTAATACCTCCTTGTATATTAGATTTTTGTTGATTATCTGGTGCACGTCTTTTAATTAATTCTAAAAGTGAATCTTGTCCTCTAATAAAATATGGATGTGCAAATTCAATATCATCTCTTTCATTTTTTAAAGAACCGTGTTCAATAGTCGACATTTTACGAAAACCATACATATTTAATTGACGTATAAAAGATGCAAAATTATTATGTTTAAAATATCTTGGTAAAATTTCACGTGAAAAACGTGATTGATCATAAACATGAAATGATCCACCAGATGGATCCCAGACAATAAGATCATCACATGACGAATCATTAACAAGTGCCCATAATTTCGCTAGAAATGCTGTTATAGAACTTTGAGATGATTGATTTGAATGTTGTATATATTCTCCATGACTATCATCACCTATATTGTTTGAATTCATATCTATAAAAATAAAAGAGTAAAAATGAAATTCTTTAAATAAAGTGCACGAAAATTTTATCATTTTTTTAGGTATCAAAAATTCAAAAGTAGAAGCTTTTTATATATACATGGTTACATAGAGCGTGACGAGGTGATCAAGAATATATGCATTTTTAATTTTTTACGGGAAACGTTTCCGTTTGTTTTAGAAGATCTGTTTTTTTTCTGAAAAAAAAACGATCAATTTTTTCATTTCCTTTGAATTTCAAAACTGTTTGTCTCAGATTTAGCATGAGCCACTTATAAATGAATTTCTTAGATTCAGTTTGTCAAGCTAAATTCGTAATCAAAGTTGTCTCACTATATGTAATCATACATAATAAAAAAAGACTTCTGCTTTAATTTTGTAATTCCAGTCCCCTACTTCGCGCCAATAAAACTTAATCACTATTTCTTATCAAAATTCATTGGTGTATATATTCAAGAAAAACGTGTTAATCAATTGCAATGATGAAAATAATCATTATTAGTATTCTATGTAATATTATTAGTATAAATTGTATTAATGTGAATTATCTTGCTCAAAAATGTTATATATGTGAAAAAGAAGCTTGTGAAAATCCAACTGCACAAGATATTAAAGCTTGTTCTAATGATCAAAATGAAGGAACGAGTGGAAAAGAATTTGTTCATGGTGCTTTAAAAGGAAAAAATGTGGACGACATTTATGGTGAAATTGCACAAGATTTAGCTAAGTTTGGTTCAAGTGAAATGGGTTTAAATGCATCCGCTATGCCATCATGGAATAGTCTTACTCGATGGGTAAATAACTTATAAATCTTAATAATAATATAAAATAAATTTAGGTATGTTATATATCGAAAGATAAACATCGTGGTTGTTTAATGATGGGTAAAGGTCTTTGTTCTGAAGATAAAAGTTGGTTAGGAACAATAATTGATATTGGAAAAAAATTAACTAATATTATGAAAAAAGCAAAAGATGCTGTAAATAAAATGTTTAGAGATATAAATATTCCAGGAAAATTAGATGATAATCAAAAATTTGTAAGATATTCAGTTGTTCTATTAAATAAGAATATCGCTTAAATAGAATGAACTTACTTTTAGAATATTACGAATTGGTTCGCTGAGAATTATATGAGTAAATTAGTTAATAGTTCAAATGAACCTCAATATCAACTTGATACTTGTTGTGAAGGTGAGATTGAAAATGAATTTAAATTTCAAAAGAAAAAAAAATAATGTTTTTTTTTGCAGGCCATTCATGTAATTTTGCTTCAATAATAGAAATATCAACATTTATATTTATTAGTTCAGCTTTAATACTCATCTAAATTTAGTTTGACAAAAAACAAGAGCAATTATACTATGATGACTTTAGTAGTATACTAAATGGTTGTTATTTTATTTTAGCGAATAATAAATTATACTAATCTGAATATTCTGTTAAAAAAATAATAAAAGAATGATACCGAATAAAGGCAGGGTGCTTTTTTCAATAAGAAAAACTTACAAAATTCAGAATTTTCTTCTTTCACAAAAGACATAGTAAAACTTGTGAGTTAAATAATTTTGTTAACTGTTAGTACTTTATTCTGGTTATGTAACAATATATGTATATCTAAAAATATAATCAATAAAATTCAAATAAACAAAAAATATTAGATTCTGAATAAGAAAATTCATACTTAAAATGAATATATAGTAAGAAGTGATATGAATATAATTAATTTAATGATGTAACATGATACCTGCTTTTATCAAATGAACTATTGAAGATGAATAAAATGAATAATTATATTTCGATGCTGAAAGGTGATTAATACTTTATGGACAACCAATCATAGGAATATACGTAACAACGTAAGTACAAATAAATGTTAATCACTGACATCTGTCTGGAGAGCAATTGTATCGCACTATTATCATATAACGAGGGAGCGTAGTTTCTAGACAGAATTTTTGTTCACTTTCGATGCATTTCCAACGACTCAAAAGTAGTGGCGTAACCACAAATTTCAGTCTGTGTGTTATGCTCAGTCACTAATCATTTTTATATACGTGGAATCGATGCTGATAAGTTCAGGAGCTAACATCGTACCGAAGCTAGAAAGTTTATGTGTGCATACTGACTATCCTAGACCCGTAATCAGTTAGTTAATATATAAGAGTAAAATATTACGACAACAAGAAGCATAACTATTTATTTCAGTATAATCCTCCATGTCCTTGAAATCGCTGAAAAATTAGCGATTAATCGTGATATATCGAAACGATAATCGTGAGCTGAAACGTGATAAATCAACGACTTTTATGATCGATAATCGTTCTGCATTATATCGATAATAGATATGGTTTGATTCATGTAACCTTGATTTCTACCGTAATGTTCCTTTTAGTACTTGATAATGATGAATATTTTTATTCGAAAATTGACTGCTCATTGTATTCTACATAAATAAAACATCTAATAAAATCTTTTCACAAGCCAATACGACATGCAATTCTACTTAAGAACACAATCAGAAAAGCATTTTAAAAAATTAAGAGAATTTTCATATATTCAAAAACAGAGGAAAGAGTAAAAACCGAAATTGAAACAAACAGAACGAAAACATGCTGATAAAAGTCATCTTAAAGACGAAAGATCAGTGCTTCAACTTTACATTAATAAAGGATTCATCTATAATTCCATGTTAAAAATAGAAGAATTTCTTATTGAAAAATTACTTGATCGTAAAATATATCTAAAATTATCTATATTAATCAAAAAACATTTTATGATGAAAAAGAATTTGAATGCAAAGTTCAATTCGATCGTTTTCTAAAATTGTCCAATGTCGTTACAATGTGTAGAACTTATATGTGACTTTTAATTTTACAGACTTGGAATGTTTCTCTAATTAATTAACGATTCGAAATCAGGTACTAAAACCCGTGATTAATTTCGATTTATCAGTCTGATATATTGCTGTGTCTTGAAAAATTGCTTTTTTCTGCCATAATCATTGATTTTCCACGAAATATGAGTAATCACTATATTATGTTCCATTGGTAACAAATAAAAATTTCTCAAATAAATCAACTGATAAATAACTAATATCAATAGTTAATAATAAGCATGAGGATGTTAAGCATGCTGATGATGGTGAAAATGGTTGTGGTGATGAAACCAGCTAATTGAATGGATACTATCAATAGGTAATAAGAATGAAGATGTTGATAGTATTCATAATGTTGGTGTAAATTGATTGTGTATAAGAGTTGAATCAACTGCAGCGTTTGAATGTGAATGAGTGGTGAGGATCTTAATAATTTAACTTTTGTTTTTTTTCGATGAAGACGATAGAAAGAAAGATGCGATCAGTGACGTGCCCAGAGGGGGATCGATCCCCCTGGAAAAATACGAACACTTGAAGGGAGTACGAGTCGAGTTATTTTCGCGTGTCTAAAACCAGTTTCTTTCCACAGTAGTCCGCCCCTAGGAACAGTCGATCGCCTCGAAGGAAATTTCTTGGCATGTCACTGAATGCGATGGTTGTTGGTTTTGATGTGCTAAGTTTTATGTACTTTCAGTCTCAAAACTACATATACATCGTTAATAATTCAAAATTGGGACTGAGGTGTTCTGAATGTTTTTTATTTATTTTAATTTTAAAAATTTGGTCCATAAGATGAAATTGCAGTTAGTAAGACTGAACCCCTTCCTAGTTACGCCACAAACCAAAAGTTATGAATGAGGATCAGAATTCTGTACTCCCTTCGAATATAGACCTAAAAATTTAGTCTAAGAATAGTGAATTAATCTTTAACGAGCCAAAAATTTAGTTTGAACGAAAAATTTTTGTATTTTCACTATTGCGATTCGAAACTAAAAATTGAAATCTTTATGTATATATATCTGCTTGTAGATTAGAAGCTACACTACAAAATGTATTATTTAAAGTTTATTTTTATCTGTCGACAAAACATTTCAATTTTCATTTTTCCTAAATACTCATTTTTGAAAAATCGACAACTATTGTTTTACATTAAAAGAAACTCGTGAAAAACTGCTAGGATAAAAGCTACAGCTTAGTTCGATATCATATTTTGTATAGAAGTATCCGCTCTACAAACCAACTGACTGCGACTATTTTTGGCATGTTCGAAATTGGACTTATTTTTACAACCAGTTATTGTGCAACAAAAAATGCATACTTCTAATGGTTTTTAAATGATTTTTCCTGTAACTATTAGACACTTGTTAATTATTATGTGCAGTAATTTTGAAAATTTTTTTATACCAAAATGCAGTCCTCTCAATTCTGCATCTAATAATGTATTGTAGAATATTTTACGTTGTTGTATGACGATATAATTGATGAGATACTAAAAATATCTTGAATTTTTCTCCACTCATACCCTATATACATAAATTGTTAGCAAGTTTAGAGTTCTATTATTGACTAGACACTCATTAATCAAAACTGGAATTTCAGTAAATTAGAATTCGACTAGACATAAACTCATGCGATTGCGTGCTCTACTAAAAATAGATTGAAATGCAGAAGAGAAATCTAATCGTAGCGAACGTGTCAATAAGTGATATAAATATAGAGTATACGCGTTATAATCTAATAAAACAAATGTCTGCATCGTATTCAACAGCTGATCACACTTGCCATTGTAAAGACAAGTGCACTACCAAAATGATGCTTGTGTACAAAAACGAGAATTTTTTGTTTGACAAGATGTCATTCAAAACGAAGTCGTTTGGGCGAATATGAATGAATAGATCAATATCTATTGTCTTGTAAATTGTTTAGCGAAATAAGACGATATTATTGAAAAAACACAAACAGTTTTATTCTATTCAGATTTGAATTGTTTTGAATGTATGAATTTATCTCTATTCGAATATTCTAATTTTGCCTACAGTACATACGTATATACATCTTACAGTTTATATTATATCGAGTATATGTTGCATAAAATTGTGCAAACTCTATCTAAACATGTGTAAATTATGAAATTTCAAGACAGATTTTATGCTCATTTTTTCCTAGATTTTGATAACGATATAAAAATTTTGAATAAGATTTTTTATGAGAGAAATGAAAGCTAAGAAATAAAACAGAACGATGAAATTATGTTAAATTAAGATAATTTAATAGTATAACAATAGATAAAAAGACATTAAATAAGATTATGCACACAATCAAATAGTATTACAAAAGAAAAATACATCAAACTTCTTATCTATACAATCAAGCGTGTATAAATTTTCAGAACATACTCTCAATAGCTACTTTCTTCATACTAATATAGACTGTTATATGTGCAATAAATCATTTCTCGTATTAAATTTCAGACATACTATTTAACTATGCGTCAAATGAATTGTCTAGCGAAGAGTTCATCGAGTCCAAAATGTTTCGGCCCCTAACGATATTATCCAAAGAAACTTTATTCAATGCTTATGCTTAGAAAAATCGAACTATCATTAGTACTAAGATATTTAAAAATTCATATGATGTTTCTTCATCTTTTTCAAATAAATAAATAATATTGACTTAAAGAAGACAATTCGTATTATATTCATCTAAATATATGTGAAATTCTGAATAGACTAGAAGCAATTAATGAACTTGAAAATTTTCAAATCGAGAAGAATTTATCTAAATAAAAATAAAAATTTCATTCAAATTACATTAGATTATTCATTATAAATATCTATAAATAAATAAACTTCATCTTTCCCTATAATCAATGTCTCGTTTAATAGACTATTTCTTTTTTCTTTTTTTTTCAATAACATCAAAGCTTTAATGAAATGTCTTTTTGATGAACTGAGCAATGAATTGTCTTTTTTCATGTATCATTTAACCACCCGCTAACCATCAAACTTGGCGTCATTGCTCTATTTTCCCATCACTTGATCTCAATAGTCACTTATCCATTAAAAGAAAAAAAAAAGCTAAAGATCAAAGGATCACACTACAATGCATACTTCATTCTATGATAATGATATTTCCATGAAAATAAAAAACAAAAACAAAAAGATTTTTTTTTCGAAATCCACGCGTGAGCAATCGAATTGTTCAAACAAACATGCAATCGCTTGTCAACAACGATTATGAACACGCGTCAATATCAATGGTGGGAAAAGAAAAAATGTTCGTATATTGGAATTATCGCTGTTTGCTATCTCTCATTGTTGATGAATCTGATTATAGATGGTGGTGGTAGGTAGTAGTCGAAAAAAAAAAACTATCGACAGCTGACCAATATAATAGTGGAAAGAAGAAGGAAAAAAGATTTGATCGTATTTCTTCCTTCCTCTTTTCTCTTTACCTTCAAATCGAATATAAATATCGATAGGAAAGAGAAAAAAAAAAAAGAAAAGGCGAATGACCTCTCTCATATTCGTTTCAATGCCAATCTATCACCACCATCCATAGAAACTATATTCTCATTCAATAGTACTATTCGTAATGTCGTATGACGACGAATTCTACATGTGATTTTAATCGATTAATGTATCTACTCGATACAAATAATCTTGAAGACGCACGAATATTACTTAAACGACAAACAATAGTTATGCGGAATAATCTTTTTGATAAACTCGATAATGATGATAATACATTACTTCATCGTTATGTTCTTCGAAATCATGCTGATGCTGTACATTTATTATTAGAATATGGTGCTTCAGTTTATTCAGTAAATAAATATGGTTGGTTACCAATACATTTAGCAGCTTATTGTGGGCATGATAGAACTATTATACAATATCTACTTGAATTTGAAAAAAGGTAGATGTATGTGTTTTTTTTTTTTTTTTTTGTTATTGTTATTGTTTAATAAAATATTACGATTTATTGTCAATTGGATTCCACTGTCTAGATATTTATGTCAAATGAGAAAAATAAGACTGTATTCAATAGAAAATTTCATTATGAATAAAAAAATCAAATGAAAATGAAGGTGATGAAATCGTTGATGATAAACAGTTGACAGCTATGCTAACAAGCAATAGAAAATTGAGTATTATTACACCTATAGATCGGTTTAATGATGGTGTTGAAACTGGTAGCTGAATGGAGAAAAAGGTGTTAAAGAATTTTTCATCGTTAAGATTTTATAGAAATTTTTGTATTAATAAAAACGTCATTTATTGATATCATTCTTTCTAAAATAATGTCAGAATATCATTCTATGTTAATTGTTTGTTCATATTGATAATCAAGTGTTAATGTATGTATTTATTGATTATGACTGTTATTGTTATCGAGTCTGTTTCATAATATGATATTGCAGTTTATTGAGAATATATTCATTCTTCTAATAAACTTACGAAAAAAGTCCAATCGTTTTTTCAGTCGAGACTATAAACATTATATGGACTTAAATAAGTTATGAAGACTTGGAAAATAATTCGTGACATTAGCTACTTCTTGTGGAGATGTTGAACTTTTACAATAGTTTTTAAAAGAATAGTTTATTGTGAAAATTACAGATCTTTTGATTTGTTTCTATCCTGAAACAAGAACATCAAATCTGCTGGTATATTTGAGCGATATAAAAGATACGGTATTATCATAGCTGTATCTTAGTATAGGAATAATAACAATAAGATCTGAAACATTCACAAAAATCTATTATTGTTAAGGTCTGTCTGTATGGAAGGCTTGAAAGTCGAAATTCGAAAATAGTTTTCCTGGGAGACCACATCACTCATTTAAAAACAAAGTTAAAAGTGCGGTATCTTTGCAGCAATAACCTAAGGGCAGGAACTCTTTTCAGAATATTTATAGATCGTTTTGGTTCACACAATTTCAATTCAACAACAATTAATCAGTTGGAAGATTTCCCTCGTTATGTCAATTAACGTTTTGTATTGGTACTATCAGATCTAAATAAAGGAGAACATTCTTGAACAATCGAATAGTATGCTTTCCTATAGTCTAAAAATAAACTATTGATTATAGTTCATTGACACAATTGAAGATAATTTTTTTAAAGTTTCGTTTTATTGTTCTTAGACAATTTATCAGCATTGTTGGATTAATATTTTAAAAGGTGTAAGCGATACAGAAGGATATAATTATGACTACCACCCGCATTGATAAACAACGAAAGACATCAACACAAAACAAACACTCATAAAAAAAAAAAAGTTGATTGTTTCATCATTGACGCTAGGTTATTACAGAAACCTTCTTTTTTTAAGTATGAGGATTCACGTATCATTGTTTTCTAAATAGTTTGAGATAAATTAACATCAACTTGTGAAATTAGCAATCTATACTCCTTGCTAAATATATTTTATTTTTGTCAAATATAGGAAAAAGCAAATATCTTGAATGAAAAAAAAACAAAAACAAAAAGAATAGAATCAAAAATAGTTCTAATTGATATGTTGATGTCAACTACAAATCAATATGTAAAATTTTAGCTGATGGTAATGCAATACGACAAACAATTGATCTCGGTATCAATTTATCCCAAAAAGTGTCCTAAAGAAAAAGAAATCAATCAATTTTCATCTATTTATTTTAATTAAAAAAAGAATTAGATTTACATTTGCTGGACAAGATTTTCTTGCATAAGCTTCCATAAAATAGAAACATGATTGAAGACCAACACCAACCAAAAGACATGTCCAAACAAGTATATTAAATACTACACCTTTATTTCTTGGCAGAAGAAAGAAAAAGGTCACTAAAAATTATAATAATATTTAATGATTATAAACAGTTTAATAATAGATTTACTTCCAACGACTGCGAATAATACAAACATAATTGGATAAAAGAATCCAAGTGCAAATATCATAACATATTCATGAAAACTAGCCGATAAAAGTACTACACAAATAGCTGGAATAACACGATTTTTTCCTCCACTAAGCTAAAAATAAAATCATATATTTATGATGAATTTTATACTAAATTGAATTTTAATGATAATAGAATTTATAAATATTTAATGGATAAGAGAAATCAAGGTTTATAATATACGAAATTCAAAAATTATTTTCGAATATGAATATTCTCTGTGGTTTCAATCAGAACATAGTTTAAGATAGATGATTCAAACAAAAGTTTTAGTCGTCGACTAAATAAATCAAAACAACGATGATTGAAGAATTTTTTTCTAGATGTAATACGAATGAATTCTGGGATGATTTTCTCTGGACTGAGGCTAGATTAGATTTATCGAGATTGAAAGAACGTGGTATCGAACCTCTCCGGTTATGAACCAATTTCAGTTTTTCTCAGGTTCAATTTTTACATAGAACATATACGTAGAAACATGATTTTTTTTTACCTTTCGTAAAACATTATAGAAATCTGAAAGACGTTGTATTTCGAAGAGAATTCCCTACATTATCATTCTGGACAATTCAAACAGAATTTTATTAGTGATTTCGGGGAGCCTATCCTTAGAGAACCAGTAATCATTTTCATCTTTATTGGAAAATAAAATTCTCTACTCAAATTATGACATATAACAGTATCCAACATGGACCAAATTTTTGTGGTCCAATTCAATCGGCTGTGGAATACTTCTATATAAAGGATGAGCCGAAAGTTTCTAGACGAAATATTTGATTATTCTTTTTTTTTGCGTATTTAAATGTATTAGGAAAGAGTGTATTAGAATCAGAACTTTATGCTCCATCAGAATATATGTTTAGCATTTTTCAATCACTTTCGACTATTGAGCTATAAGTGAATCTTGAAAAGACTGAAAAGTTTTTTCTGGAGGCAAAAACCTCAAATGGAATTTGTTTCAGACAATGCACGAAGTTTTATCGAATATATTGGAAAATATAGAAAATAATTCTTTACAAAGCGGTTCATTTTTTTCCAAATGTTGAGGTGCGATAAAGACTTTTATAAAGTCCATATTTTCAATTTTCACCTTTTCAGTGCAAATGACCCTCCGTTATGATTCTGCCACTTTTTATCGGATTAACTGAAACTCTTCATTCTTGCATCATTCTGTAGAGTAGAAATCAACATCAAGTATTATATATTTACAGAATCTTATTTGATGTAGATTTGCCTTCAGAAAAATTCTAAGCAAATAATCAGAAAGAGCACATAGCTTTGATTCTCATGCACTACCAATGTATTCAAATATGCGAAAAATAGTCAAAATATTTTGTCTAGAAACTTTTGATCTATCGTTTCTTTTATACATATGAAATTCTTACTTGAAAAACTTCTTTGTAAACATATGTATAAAGCCAATCATGCACCACAACATTCCATGTTCGATAATAAGCTGCAAATGAAGTTGAATTCCACCAATCCTAAATAAAATTGTTTTTTGTTTTCATTAAAATTCTACTTAAAACAAAAAAGAATTTTTTACTTTATAGAACATTCTATCAGCAAATCGAAGCATTTCTGCAAAAGCATTAAGCCAACAATGTAAAAATCCATAAAAACCTATATTAATTATTAGTAAGAACAACAAATAAACAATCAAATTCAAATCAATTTTCTTTACCTAATAATAGAAAAAGACTTCCAGGCATAATTGAATTAAATAAAACCGATATAAATACTGGTAATGTTATTTGATTTTGATTTAAATTTGCAAATGTTGGTACACAAAAGCGAACAACAACATAATAAACATAGAATATAGCTGCAATAACTTGTCCAAACATTTGTACCACATAATCCCAATGTATAGCTGCATTACGAGGATATTTATCACGATAAATTAATGTTGGAGCAAATAAAAAATATAAATATTGCGAAAAATCCGGACAAAAAATATCTTTTGTTTCAGCATTTTCATTTGTATTGGATTCTAAAACAAAAATACACGAATAAGAAATTTTATTGAAAGAAATTTATAATTTTCTAGCAAATTAATCATGCTTTTAAAATAGCACGAGCGAATATGAAACATAAAACTTTTTTTTTTTTTATTTCCTATAACAAACCGCTTATTAAACGACATTGTAAATGAACTTTTTCGACATTTTCACGAACAAATGAATGTGTTTTCATTATTTGTCGAAGCTAGAGAAAAAATAATGATTTGTATTTGTTGTTTTAATTTTCTCACCTGTTCAAGTAAAACAATAAGTGATGAAGCAACAGGCAATTGATGTTGAACAATTTCACGACATGGAAGTACCAAGAATAAGATAATGTAAGTTATATAAATAATTAACCATGTTACATCGTAGATTCCTAATTGAAAAAATTTGTTTCTTGTTTAAAGATTTAGAAAAGATTCTTCGAGTCTTAATTGAATCGTATAGTTTATATTTTATAAAACGAATTTTGTTTCATTTAATTCACGTGTCTAAAAAAGAAGTGAGAATTTCGGTGGAATTCGAAACTCTCCTCATTAGTTCTCGCAAATAGCTTTATTTCTATGAATACTTGCTACATCATATAGCACTTGGAAAGACGATATAGTGTACAGCAGGACAATAAAGGATATCCTATAAGTTCTGGGACTCAACAGAAATTAGTTTATATGTAAACAAAGAATGACTTTTACTCAACTATATCTATATGAACTTCAAGTACTTAGGACGATGTTTTAAATGGCATATTATCCGATAACATTATCTCTTGTAATTATAGTGGTATAATCACAAGAGACGCGATAATTAGGATGTGAGTACAGAGGACGGTCACACCCACACCCTAAATACTTCATGTCGCTTTCTATAATTGTGTTCCGTTACACATGATGAATTCATGTGGTTCATTGAAATTTCTTAAAAAATATTATTCATATATAAACTAATTTTCGTTAAGGTCCAGAACTTATGAGACCCTCATTATAGTGCTCAACAAGACAACATAATGCTTATCAATATTCATTTTTATTTTAAAGTACTTATCCGTAGCACACATTTAAATCAAACTACAATCCTTAGGCTTTTTCGTTCAGTAGAAAAGCGTAGTGCTGAACAATATGAATTTAAATCGCACTACAGTTGTAGCGTTTTGGTCACAAATTACATTTCGTGAAATAGCAGTGTGTGCCAGTAAACGAATAGTATTATATGAATTGCGTAGTGGAAATGCTTTAGTTGTTCAATCAATGGTTTCATTACTGAACAAACTACTTAGAAGTCCACAATATAGACAGTGAGCTAGTATGAGTATGCACTCATGCTTGATTGACAATGCTATCTTGCTGAACATGACATTTTAATGAAAATGCATAGCGTTGACAATTACATAGTGCACCAATTTTTTTTAATAGAATTCCGAGTTTTTACGGAAATTAATGAGAAGAAGTGGTGTCTGAACCGAAATTGATGTAATTCGTCTAAAAATCTGCAAGAATAATTTCTTTTTAGTCTCCGTATATCTGATTTCTTAAGCTTTCGAGAAATTTCTGTTTGTTTTTCATGTTTTTAATTAAGAATTAGTTATACTAATACAATTGTGGCTTATAAGTTTACATTTTACATAGTACATATATTTGTTTGTTTCTTCATTGTCGGGCATTCGTTTATCTGTCATTTTCTTATGGCTTTATAGTAAATACATATTAGAAGACAGATGGAAACTGTAAGCCCAACACATGTACAGACAAATGTCAAAACAAAATTATGAAAACGAACTTTTGGTATATTACTCTCACTACATGACTATACATTGAACTCTATCCAGGTTAACTATTCGAGATTTAAAGATGAACTGTGAGTATCACTAATCGTTATTCGAGCAATTATTGTGTAAAGTCAATGCGATAAAATATGAAAGGCATCAGAAATTGCAGTACCATTGATAAGAATTTTAGACTAGGTGATCTACCGATACATCAATGCAGCTTGATTCCTATCATCGATCATATAAATAAATTCATGCTGTTTTGTTGAATTCATACAATTTTATATGAGATGTTCAACATATATATTGAATAAGAAATTTTTCACCTTTGAAATTCAATCGTCGTCGAATATTTATAAACTTATTATGCCGATTCACTCTTAATGATATTATAATATGACAGCGATTTTAACTATAACGCCCTTTGCAACATCTGACTCCCGTATAGAATAAAAAGTGGCAGCCTAAATATTCGATTTTCATTCTTACTTAGTTTCTTAACATTTTCACAGTAGAATATTCGATTAGTAGTCCAATAGTAAAATCCAATAAAAACCACCACAGCTGTGCATAATTGCATAATCAACCATATAAATAAAGCAATATGTAACTTTTGAAAACAGTAAAAGATTAATTCAAAATTTAAATTTAATCTTCAGAAAAAACATAAAAAATAATTTGTTCAAATTATTATTATTATTTTTTTGAACTATTTTTACCTTCCACTATGTACCACATCATTAATTGTAACCTGTATAACAAGTACAAGAAGCATTGCAACAAAAACATTTCTTATACTACGAATATGTGATGTTTCAAATAGATCAGTTAAAATAGAATTTCGAGCAATAAATACACGTGATTCATGCATTTGACGATTTGATGATCTTAATGAAATAAATTCTAATTTTATCGATAAAAGTTTAAAAAAATATATAGCTAACTTTATTTTCGGTTGTTGTATTGTTTTAGGTTGTCGTAATTCAAAATCATTTTTAAATGATGAAAATTGTTCATTAACTTCATGTTCGATACGATGTAATTCATTAAGAAGAGATGAACGAATTTTCTAGAAAACCTTGTCATTCGAAACACTGAATCATAAACTTAAAAATCTATTTTTACTTCGGTTTCATCTTGAATCCATTGTGACTCATTATTTACTATAATTATATAATAACAAAGGTTAAAAAATATTAAAATAAACTTTCTTACCTGTTTCCATCTTTATGTGAAAAAGAAATTTGATAATCAAAATTCTTTCGTTTACCATGATAAAACTACAAATTTTGATTGCTTGTATAATGTAACCAATAAAATTAATAAAAGAAAAAAATTTCTTTTAAATTATATTTGTAATTTTTTTTAATTTAATTAAATATAAAAAAAAAATGTTTTTAAAAACGAAAATTTTGTCTTGTCGAAAAAAACGAATTTTCGAAATTTATCTTTGACAAATGAAAACACTAGCCTTTGTTTCATATTTTGGTTCACAATTAGAAAGTCCAATCAATCATTTACTACATGTCGGCTTTAGCATCAGCAACAATTAAACCTAAAAAACAATCATTTCATGCAACAAATGTGGTATGATCAAATTATTTATAAATACAAAAAAAAAATAGATTTTTTCTTTTTCCAAAGTGGAATGAACTTGTTGAAGGTTTTCGTTCAAAAATTGAATTAAGAAAGTATCGTCGAAATTATTTTACACAAACATATGAACAATGTTTCTCATCATTAGATGCAATTAATTGTATGATAAATGTTCTTAAATCGCATCCGAATTTTGAAACAAAGCAAATTGAAAAGTTTGTTTGAGATTTGAATTTTGAATAAAAGTAGAAAACAAATGACGATTTGTTTGTTTATTTTCATTAGACATCATGCAATTCGTTTATTAGAAAAATTTTATGAATCAAAAGTATTTACAGATGTGATTAAAACTGAACGAAAAAAAACATTTGTTGCTGATCATGGAATCTATCAGTAGGTTCAATTTATATTTAACTAAAATAGTATTATACTTTTATCTATATTTTCTTATTAAACAATGATTCTCTTATTATATCTTGGTTTAAGATAAACTATTATTGTTGAAAATATATAAGAATATTATTATTAATGCAATTTGGTAGTTGTATAGCTATCAGAATGTTTGATTTAAGAGGGCCTCTCGGTCTAACATTTTTACCCTCGAGCCTGATGAACTCTATTTCGAGGTTATCATAGCTGAGTGGCTACATTGTTCGACATGCATGCAATAAGTACTGTGTGCAAAACATCGATGCCACTAGCCTTGGGATGACCTTGGACAGGTCACTAATGGTTATTTGTCTCAGATCACCCATCCGATAATATTCTAACTAAGTTGTGACATCTTGCTGCCCTCATGGCTAGTATGTTGGTTAGCCAGTGTATATAATGAGCTTAAGCAACTGAGTGCAAGAAATCTGTATTATGCCAGCCTTCTGTCCGAAGTTACAGCTAGTATTAGTTCTGAGGAAATTATCAAGCTAAAAATGTGTCATTTGACAGCGCCTCATACAGCAAGGTAGGATTATTCTTCCACTATTTCTTCGCTCTTCCTCCTCTCTCGTCACTTTTGGAGGACATCTTATCAAAAAAATTTGAAAGTTTCAAGGCAGACAGATCTCGATGAGTAGAGAAAAAGTTGTCATGAACTCGAAATTTTGAAGATGCTCCCTGTTAAGAAATATTTAGTTCTCAAGGACAAAAGTGGTTCTCCTTACCACTTCCTCTCTATCTCAACAACAAGATGCCTGATATGGTTAAAGATTATATACAAGTACTAGATGCATTTGGGTCTCCTTTCGTTCAAATGAAACCACCGGAAACCTGAAAACATCTTGAAATGAGCTTTTTTTTTTGAAACCTGGACAAAAACTAGTCGAACAACATTTATCAAAGAAAAAATAGAAGGTACTCTAAACACTTTCTAGTATAGGTAAAAGAAAGTTTCCATTCGATCAAATGTACTGTGGTTGAAAAACGAGGTCGTCTCTTCATTTTTTTTTATCAAAAACAACTCATTTTTCAATATCAGTAAAATAATGTGTAAAGTTAGATGTGGTTTAGCGATAATGTTCCATTTTTTCGATTCAGTCAGCTTTTATAGCTATATATTAATTCTTAAGAGATGACCAATAGATAGAAAATACTTCGAAGCCTCTATTAAATATCAGAAAACTAACATGAAAAGTCTAAGAAAAATTTTGATCGGGAAAGGATAGGCCATGATTTCGTCAGATTCTGTTATTCGTAAATAATGAATCATCTCCGAAATATATACAATATAGCGACTAAAGATATGAAGAAATCTAAAAGGGTGTGGATAGATGAGGAAAATATTCACACCCGATCCCGCCCATGCACAGTAACTAGTCATATCTTTTATATATAACACTAGACGAAAGTGATGTTTTGTGTTAATCAACGTATAGCATTTGTGATGAAATAATTAATTGTAACAATAAGTCTTGTTACGCAAATTTGAAGATACCTTGAATGAAGTCATTATATACAAACACAGTATATTGAGACGTAAGTTTAGGTTCATCAGTTGTTCTAGTGTTCTAACCCTGCAAAGTCACTGATCGTGATACAATTATCTAATAAAAACAACAGTTTTAACCATTGACTTCGAAGAGTTTATGAAACATGAGCTGATTGTTAATTAATACGATTCATAATTAAAACTAGTGGTGTAACTAGGAAAGAAGTTGCCGGTGGGAAGAAAGCTGGAGCTCCATCCACTAATGACATTAAATATATACTTTTTATGATTAGGATTGAAATATTGTGTCCGACGTGATGTTATTAAAAACTTGATTAAACAATAAATCTTCTTTAGACTTTTATCAAAATTGGATGAAAATGTTTTTCAATCGATGATAAATACAAATAAAACAACTGATCATCATATTCATCCACCACAAGAATCATCAACATCTGCGATGAGTGATGTAAATTTAATTTTTCATTGAAATCATTTTTTTTGTGTCTTTAAATTTAGAGTTGGAAACAATATTTTGTTGAACGGCTGGAAAAATATTTATTAAAAACACGCAATCGTCATGGTGGTTATCTTCTTCATCAAATTGAACAAGAAATGAAATTAATTGATGGTTCTCAAATCTTATCTAATTTACATAATAATATATCAATTGATCCATTGACTATTGCAGGTTAATTTATTTTCATAAATAACGAAGAGATTAATTGTTGTTGTTTTCTTTTTCAGGTCAACTTGTTGATTGGTTGCCAGAATCTATGTCAATTGTCATTGATTGCAAGTTTTTATATTGAGCTTATATTAACTTCTTTTTAACGGATTTCTTTTAATAAATAGATCCTAATAGTCTCGATGGTCGCAATTTACCTGATTATCCGTCATTTATTTTTGATTTATTTGATATGGTTATTGATGCATTTGATATGCAACGGCAATATTTATCACCATCAATGGCTATTTTTAATTTAATAATTCAGCTTATTGCTAATAAAGGTATGAAAAAAAGAATGTATAGATATAATCATTATTGCAATATTTGTGGAAGTCTATAATGTATCTTGTTTGATGTGAAAGCCTGATATAGTGGAGGTGCGAAGAAATAAAAGCAGGACGAGATATTTCGAAAAATAGGAGAAAAATATAGTTGAAATTGTATGAAATCGAAACAAGTGCTAGTCCGAATTTCTAAAGTAGGAGAGAGTACTCACTCCTAGTCTGATTCATCATTCATTTCCTTTCTTCAAGGCCTTTAGGATTGGGATTTAGGCCGGTTCGGCAGTGGTGGCAGTCTTTCGCTGCATGTTTCATTTCGACCCATTGAAGCTTAAAATGCTCTTGGTAAAGCCTCTTAATGTATTCACGACAACTGATTCTTAGACGTCCGACGGGTGTTCTTCCTACAGACGTAGCTTCGAATATTTGGTAGAGTAGTCTATCATGTGACACTTTCAAGATATGTTCCGGCTATCGTAGTTGCGACTATTCGGTTTGAGGAACTAGAGACTCGATTCGTGGAGATTTTTGTTTTTACGAACTTCGTCTTGGTTTGTCCGGTCAATTGCTCTATGCAAGAATTTCATTTCAGTCGCTTGTAGTTGAGATCGAATTTTTTCAGTCATCACTCATTGCTTATTGCTATTAATAAAGATAGGTCAATATACTGATTTGGAGATTGCGAGCTTTGTCTTCTGATTTAACTCTGCCTTTGTCATAGCTATGCGGTAGAGAGTGAACGTAAGATGTCGCTGATGGCACTAACTCATCGATGAATTTCGTCGTCTTGTTTTCCATTACATGAACTTGTCAGTCTGATTCAACGGAGACTACACTGATCTCTGGTCGGATGATGATTGATTTTGAGCTAAACTAAAACTTTCATGTAGTTCAAAGAAATTTTCAAAGTTGATCTATAGAAAAATATTTCTACTACAGTCGAGGGTACTCAATGCAAAAGGAATATATATTGTGTTCGTCTATCAAGAGCAATTCGTTCCTGTTTTTTGGCCATTTCTGGTTCTCGAAGAGGGTATAGTCAATCCACTTCAAATATTGACTATAGATACTTGAAAATATTTTCCGAAGATGAAATTAGCTGTTTTCATTTTCGAGCTTTCTGTCTGGAATTAAAAAGTTCAGAACGCTAACACACTAGTATTGGATTCGAACTTTTACGTATTTTCCTAAATAAAAGAAAGAAAGCGATATTTTTGAAAAACTTTAAAAATACTCATGAGATATAGTCTAAGGTATCTTCAAAACAAAATTTCAGCTGGATCGGACGTAGAGGAAGGTTGTAAGCCGATCCAATGTGACTCTATGCAAAACTATGAAAACCTTGTTTAAAACCGATACAGTAGTAGAATCAGGCATAGTTAATTTTTATTTTACTAACAGGAAACCTCTCCAGGTATCGTATCACTTTTTCAAACCGAGAGGATGTGCATTTGATGACTGCTAGTAAATACTAAAAAAGTCTAGAATGGTTTAGTTTTCTTGACTGTTACTCTTGTGATATCGAAATATTACTTATTTTTTCGAGAAAAAAAAGCTGTGGTCCTCCCAAGTCACATGAAAAATCAACTTTTCAGGATTAACTTCAAACTTTGCACGAGCAAAGTTCTTAATGAAATTAGTTTATTGTACGACTAGTATTTGCTTTCTGGAAATGTAAATATACGAACAAAATTTGCTTTTACACATGAGAGAGTTTCGAGCATTCAATATCTTAGGATAGAAGATACTAGAAAAGTTCCAGCTTGTCCAATACATTAATCTCATTGGAAACTTTGTTTGTGCAAAATTTGAAATCGAAAGTTGATTTTTCATGTAACCATAGTTTTTTGTTTAAACTTCCAGTAAAACTTCTATATCTCAGGAACGAAAGATAAGAAAATCAAACCATTCTAGACTTTTCTATTATTCATCAAATGAACATCGTGTCGAGCGAAAAGCGATTTGACGCCTGGAGAGGTTCCCTCATAAGATTATTTAATCAGTGTTTTATAAAAAAAAGAAAAATATTTTAGGCAATCCATTATCAATGGAATCTTTATATGATCGTGATGATGGTCGATCCGTATATTGTTTTCCAAGTGAAATATATGCAAGTCGATCAACAAATAATCCTTATTCAAGTTTAAAAAATCGTGTATCTCATTCAAAACAATCATCACGTGTATATCGTGTTGATTCATATGAATATAAAAAAGTATCATGTCATGATGATAATGATAAATCATATGGTTTAACAAATCTTCGTCGAAAATCATTAAGTTCATGTGATCTTTTTCATGTGACATCGAAAACATTAACATCGCCGTTTGATGAAATACAAAATTGGCTTAATAATAAACGTAAATGAATATGAATGAAAATGTTATTTTGTTTTGCTTTAAATTTCAATTTATTATATTTAGATACAACAACAAATAATCAAGAAAAGCTTAATAATGATGAATTAGAACTTATTCAACTTACACTTATTCATTTAACAACATCAAATAGACAATTTATATATGTTATTCTTTATTTTTTAACACAATGTATACGAAATAATCATTTTTGTTCTAATGATACGACTAAATTACGAGTAAAAATTTTTTATTTATAAAACTAAAAGAAAATAATCTTTATTTTTACAATTCAAAGATTTATCGTGCTTTTGCAAAATTAATTACAATTAATCATGATGAAAATATTTGTTTAATGAATATTTTTGATTGCTTTATTGAACATCATGGAAAATTATTTGATATTTCAATGGATACAAGAAAAATTGTTGCAAGACGATTAACAAAATCAAAAAAAGAAAATAAAGTAAGTTTGTTAAATTATTATTCATATATAAAATATTTTTCACAACTTCAATAAAAAGAAAGCATTGTTTTACTTATCAAATTAATTTTAAATTGAAATTAGTAGATGTAGAATCATTTGAAGTACTAATGTCGAATAATATTACAGTGATGATCTAAAGATTTACTCAAGATATTGTTCTAAAGAATCCTCCTCAAACGTCGATCTTGGGTCAGGTGTATTCAAATCACATGAAATTTTCAGCTTTATTTCATGATGTTTTCAAGAAATATTTAACAAACAAGAGTCAAAAACAACGCATTTGACAATCGAAACTTTTTAAAATTCTTGTTTTTTTTTTACAGAGAAAAAGGATGATAAGTTTAATACTTTGAAAAAATGGGCACTGCAACGTTATATACTCTTTCAAACAAAAATAAAAAGCAATAGAGCTCCTTCGAGAATTCAGAGATGTACGATCAGAAAAGTATAAGCAGATGATGACAGAAATTTTGACTGAAAACAATATGCTAAATAAAAAATCATATCATTTATGAAAGATCAGCCCTCGAGCTACCTTGTCATACGTCTATCTCAATTTCGGTTTTTCTCACGAAAATCGGCTTTTTTCAGCAGGGTTTAAAACAATTCTGTAGTAGAATCTATCATGTCCAAAAGTTTCGGAGCCAAAATCAGACGGACTCTTGTCTCTTGGTACTAAAATGAGAGACAATGAAATAAGTATGACCATTAGTTCTATAACAATGGATTGACGATCAAAAATAATTTGGTGTATTTTTATCTTATATTTCTTTTCTAGTATGTCGCTTTACCATCGTCAATAACATCAAATAAAAAAACTTGTGATGATCGTCAACTTCGTCCAACATTTAAACAAGTAATTTTACTTATTTTTCGTATTTGTCTTTTTTTAAATAATTTTATTCATTTTTAGCTTCGAATATCTCGTCCATTAACATACAATGAACCTCTTGATACCGATGTTCATCCAATGGTATCAGCAACATTTGTCCGTAAACCACTTGTAACATCACCATCAAATCAATCAAATGACAAAACATGTTTAACAACAACAAATTCACCACGACGTCGTGCAAGAAGTTTTGAACCTCGTGCACATACAACAACTTTATTTGATAAAACAATTAATCCGTTTCATAAATTACGTGTTATACTTAAACGAAACGAATAACCATAATTAGGATATATTAGTTTTTTTTGTCTTGTATATGAAGAATTGCAAATAAAATAAAAACAATATCGTGTTTATTTACAGATTTATTGATTATCTTTACTTGAAAATTGAAATTAAAGTGAACAAAAATAAATAAATACATAACATAATTCTTAAGTTCGTTAACTTAATTTTTAAATTTCAATAAGTAATACTTGATTAAATAGATCTTCTATTGACTAACAGACACTTATGCTCTATGTTTTTATTCAGTTTTCCTAAGTTTCTAGAAAAGAATATTCCTAGATAAAAACAATCGGACATTTTCTTTTCTACAAGAGTATATACATATTAATCAAAAAACATTGTTTCTTTAGACTAAAAACTGCGAAACGGGAAGAAGAATGTCAATCAGTATTGTTTCATCATAACAAATTATCCGTGTGATTCAAATCGGACGGAAACTCTAAGTAGATTGCTCGGTATATTGTAAACTATACTGGCGGTAGTTTGACACTTAAATGGTCGACTATCTTCAGGCCACCATTTCACTATGCTCTACCGATGTCCAACCGGCAGTAGTCCGAACATATATACAACGTGGATATAACTGTTCATAGTCGAATCCGTAAAATGTATACTTCTACTCAACACGTACCCATAGTTCAAAATGTAAATGCATCATTTTCTTTGTTTTGATTTATGAGGAAGCATCAACAATTGATATAATTTTTTGAGTTCGTATATTGCTCATTGGCAAGACTCATAGAGTTGAGTAAAATCCCAAACGAACTCGTCACATTGCCAATGTACTGCAGAAACACAAGCATAACAAATTTCTCTAAATATGACATTATTGTATTTTCTATTAAAAAGAACAAAAAAAATTTATATCTCAATTAAGAAACATTTGTACAAGCTAATTCTTTTGAACTCATATTACACATGTTTCTATAATTTTTGGGAATATTTTTTTGCATATCGCTGGATGAAAGCAGCAGCTGATGGAGGATATTTTTTGTCTTTGTTTCATTTATATATTCGTTGAGCATGATAGATATAGGAAAGTATAAGAAAACATACAAGTGAGCATTATGGAAATAAACATTTCTTCTTCATGAGACACATCTTCTGTATATTTTTATGTTCCAGTACACTCGTTTTGTTTCTGCGTAGATCACATGTTCTTTCTCATATTCTCTAGTACCTTGTCATGAGAGAGTGGGTTTTTCTTTTTTTTTTTTTTTTTAGAAATGGCAATGTTTTTTAATAAAAAATAAGAACAAGAAAAAAATGTTAGAGGATGTGATATCAACTTCTATACCGCATTGCATTCATTAGATTTATATTTGTTGTGTAAAGCTGAAAATTCTCCGTTTCTTTTCTGTCTGAGAATGATTTTTTTTCGTAACTTTCTAAAACTTTGACAAAACAGAAAGAACATGAGTGTCTCGTTCTTTGCGCACCATCTGTTACAAATATGTATGTATTACAATTATTAAATAAATCACTTAAAAATAGAAGCAGTACCTTGAAGAGTATTAACTCGATCAACGACATTCTGCAAGAAGTTAATCAAAGATATACTGATGTGGGATGTGGAGGGTGAACACCTTTTTTTTCCCAGAAAAAATCGTTCATTTTATTGAGAAAAGAAGATCATAGAGCAAAAAACAATTATGTACTACCCTTCTCTTCAATAATAGTTTGCGCACTGAGGCGATCAAAACCTACGACTTTCTTATTGCATCATCTCAGTCTCCTTCTATCTGTTCTCGTTTACGCTAGTAAATTTTACATCTTTACTTTTCGATCATTTATACGCATGCTACACTGTCACAGAATGACCAACATTCGCATTGTGATGTTTTCCTCACACCACATTATTTGTCCTTTTTCTCGCTCATATCATATGCATTTTCACTTTCTGTTCTCTTTTCATGACACATGGGGTTTTTCTTTTTCAGTTCTACTCTTCATCTGGATTTCTCTTTTCTTTCTCATTACATTTGTTAGACTTTTCCTATAGCGTTTGCTCCTACACGTAGTGTGATTTCGCAGTAAAAACAACAATTCGATCACGAATTCATCTTTTTTTGACGTTTAGATAGGTTATTGAAGGCTTAGGGATTCTCGTCCTTTCACAGCTAGTTGTCTCTTTAACAACAAAATTATGAATAGTTAGGATGGGACAGCATTCAAAAAATTTAAACGAGCTTGAAGCACTTAGAATCGCATAAAATTCGCGAAATATTGTATCTTTTAACTTCTATAAAAACATTAAAATACTTTTTGCAAGACAAAATTCAACAGGAAAGCAAGAAGGGAAACTTTCTTTTGATGAAAAAAAATCAACAAAGAGAACACCATAAGTACTATTGCTCATTTCATTTATAAAGTATCTTGAGTTCATATTTCGTTAGACAGTATCTGCATTTTTTCAGGAGAAACAAATCCCATTCCATTCTCAATCTTGTGTTCAGAAACATTGTCTTAAACTTTTCCCTCCCGAATTTTTTTTTCGCCACATCCTTGAAGTCAGTTGTTAGTAAAATACACAATGTAATCAATGATCTCATCTCAAGTAAGGAGTACTCCCTAGTTCACTTTGAACATAGTACTCGCATTAGTTGATGTGATCAGTATTAAAGTCCTACGATATTCGTTTAGCAGGTGTTTCGTACTACAAAATAGTGTTCCGTGCCATAAGGTTATATAATATCAGAAGATGAAATATTTTTTGACAGTGGACAACATCGTTCTAAAACATTTACACTAAATTAACTTTCGCCAATGACTATTACGAAAGAAAAAACAACAACATTTTCTTTACTTTCGTCATTACATGTATTTTTCATCATTTCCACACAACTTTCAACTACATAATGACGTCGCATATGTAAGATGTCGCTTGTATATGAGGAAAAACATTTTTCGAAGTTTTTCTGAGTCAGAGTTAAATTGAAAATATTAAGTATCATATTTATATGTTCGATTGGATTGTTTTATTTAGCGGTCATAATCGATATATTAATTAAAATAGTCTTAGTCAAATCTTATTGAATAAAACATTTAGCCAATAAAAATTTCTATCAATAGTGATTGGTTAATTTGATTTGATTGACATAACATTTATTGTTTTGTTTTGTTTTGTTTTCCTTTTTTCATTCTCTTCCTAATTTCATAGTGAATAATGGCTCGAGCAACTAGACGATCACGTTTTGGTTTGCCAGACGTATTTTTGCAAGAGCAGAAACAACGAGAGGTGAACTATGACATAAAAAGCCAACGTTCAATTTGAAATTAATGAATATGTTTATTTTCTTTTGTTAAGGATGAATTAACAGCTGAAACGGTGAAAAATGGCTTTACATTTAAACCTGTTGATGGAATTTTGGAAGTAAAAATTCCCATTATTTTAGTTAAATTAATTCCTATTATTTCAATCTTTGCTGTTTAGCATGAAGGCTTCAAAGGTCAAGAATTTTTCAAGAATGCCGATGAAGGTATTCTGGATTTTTTTAAAATTATTTTGCTCAAAAAAGAAGAAAATCATACAATGAATGATAGTACTAAACGAAAACCGCCGACAATCAATAAAGCACATTTTTGGCCATTAATGGTTTGAATTGATTAAAAGAAGAATATTTCTATCTTGTTTGTCTTTTTTGTTTCGTACTTTTCAGGGTCCCCGAACAGCTAAATCTTTTGAACAGTGGCTATCATTATTAGCATCAACAGAATCACTCGGAAAATTAGCTCAACAAGTATAGAATTTAAAGAAATTGATTATACTTAATATTTTGACGTTTTTCTTCGTTATTAAGGTACCAATCATTCTTAAA